TGGATGAGATGTCGACTGTCCTTCTTTCTCCTTTGGTCAGCTTTGCTCTGCCTCAGGGGAACGAGAGCATCGGCCCCAAAGCCGACAACAGTTCCAGATATTGACTATGAGGCAACATTCACTAAATGCCGCATAGATCTGTGGCTCAACTAACTCAACACAGCTAGGATAGCTACTTATGTATTAAGATATTTAATTTTAAGATAATAAAATGGTGGCGAAGGTATGGCTATTAGGGGAGGCTGGAGACCTTTAAAAAAGAAAAAAGTAATACTAGTGGCACCAGTCGTAGTAATACTAGTGTCACCAGTCATAGTAATATTAGTGGCACCAGTCGTAGTAATACTAGTGGCACCAGTGACATTAATACTAGTGGCACCAGTGACATTAATACTAGTGGCACCAGTGGTAGTAATACTAGTGGCACCAGTGGTAGTAATACTAGTGGCACCAGTGGTAGTAATACTAGTGGCACTGGTAGTAATACTTGTGGCACTAGTGGTAGTAATACTTGTGGCACCAGTGGTAGTAATACTACTGATACCAGTGGTAGTAATACTACTGATACCAGGGTAGTAATACTACTGGTACCAGTGGTAGTAATACTTGTGGCACTAGTGGTAGTAATACTAGAGGCACCAGTGGCAGTAGTGATTCACAGGGTGACGTCATTAATCCTTGGTGTGTTCACTCTACTCTGAGTCTGGCGCGTTACACTGTTGTAATACTTCTCAGAAATGTTAGATCACCCCTGGAGATATTAATGTAGCATCTATCATCCTGGAGATACATGTGTGCTATGACCCCATAAATACGTGTCGTATCACTCCCAGATATAAATGTGAAGATTCACTCCCAGAGTTACACCTGTAGCATCACCCAATCGGCACATAAAGTGAGCTGTAATTCTTTGGTTTATTTTTGTTTATTACATACCGAAAGGTATCAACTCTTCCACATTTTCGACCTGTCTCCCGGACTTTTCCCTTCAGTTTTTATTTATATCATACTTCACAAATTTCTTCATTGTCGATGATACTGCCACACTGCATAATTACTATATTGTATATCACTGAAGTAGATTTGCAAGTTGATATTGATCAAACTCCTCGCAATTTTTTTCAGCCACCGTGTTTTTTCTTTCTCCAGAGTGTTTCTGTATGAACTATGAATACAAGAGTGCTACAACAACTGTGATGGAACAGGTGATGAGAGAATGGTTCCCAACAACACAAGATCGGGATGGTGGGCGTCGGAGAAGGGACAACAAGAACTATTGGAGGCTAGGAGTATACAGATATAATAATTATACTGATATTCTGTAGTACAGATTAGTTATGTTATGTACCTTTAATTTTATCCTTTTCGCCAATGATCGGTTCGTTAGCCGGTTAGGCGGTCTGTCACATCTCTGTTACGCACTGTTGGCAAGTACTGGGCATGTGTACCTGCGCCAGTGTTGGTCAAATCTGATCTTGAAAGAGCTCACACTCGGTGCTATCACAACACTCACTGGCAGATTGTTCCAAGAAGTTCACAATTCTTACTCCAAAAAAGTTTGCCCTCAAAATTTTCTGAACTTGTGACTTCTTCAATCCTTGAGCTGTGACCCTTTGTGAGGAGGGCGTCCACCAGCTCTAGGTATGTACACTCGACTGAATAATGCCCTCTGAAATGTTTATAAACTTTACTTTGGTCATCCCTTCCCTTGTGTGTGTGTGTGTACACACAGAGGTATAATGCGTCAAATGTGGCAGCATTATGTTAGTGTTAAGGTGCACGCACCGCTTGCTTCCTCTCGCTTTCAGCATCTGCTGCTGGCTAGCCCTCGCGTTGAACAGAGAAGCAACTTGCATCAGTCTTCCCCTGCCAGTACACAACCTCTTCACCATCAAGACTCCTGCTGTGCCTCCTCGTGGCAACGCACGGTAACTCTGTGACTCGTGAGCCGAGGTTAGGCCAGCAGAGATCTCGGAGCAGCAGTAGGCCCCAGAGGGACGGCGGGCGCAGAGGCCCACTGGCATGTGGACACATTTCGGCGCCGACCAACCACTGCCACACTGCCTTACGGATTATCCTTAGTAAGTACAAGGTTACGGGAGTAAACCCCAAATGAAAAATCTGCAGTGGAGCCCCAGAATAGGCAGACATGCTTACAGATCTCCAGTAAGACCCCAACGGCGGTATACACGGAAGAGTTGACTAACATGGGAACCCAACGAGTTCACCAGCGGATAAAGGCACTGCAAGATGGACAGGCTACTACGGCGAAACGGGGACCGGTGGTAGAAGCGGTACCGTTCTTGCCTCGCACGCGAGATGTCACGGGTTCGATTCCCGGGCAGGTGGAAGTTGTTTGGACTTACTTCCTAGCCCCCATTAGTCCCTGTTCACCTAGCAGTAAAGTAGGTACCTGTTGTAAGTCGAAAGTTGCTAATTCGTATTCAGGGAGTTGTTGGAGCTTCCAATAACTTGATGATATAAACCACTAACTCTTCAGGCTTCTACGCCCTTAACTCAAGAGATATAAAGGCAAGCATGAACTTAGCATGCTTCCCTGTTGGGCGCTGTAAACGCTTCTGCGCTTCACCTTACACAGGGATGCAGGGGGGTGCCCAATAAATAAAAAATAAAAAACTACGGCGAAACCCAACAAACAGGTATATATATATATATATATATATATATATATATATATATATATATATATATATATATATATATATATATATATATATATATATATATATATATATATATATATATATATATATAAGTAAATCACTGTAGGTGCGCGTGATCTAGGTATATGCTGATAACCACAAGGAAAGAAGAAAACACGAAGTTCCCAAGCGCTTTCGTGTAATTCACATCTTCAGGGGTGAGTACAGACTAAAGAGAAATACAAACCAAGGTGTATATATACAGAGGAGGGTGAGACCAGGTCCACAATGGTCAGGTATTAGGTAATGACCCTACTAATCTTTAAATAGCACACAACGGTTGGTGGTCAGGTCAGATGGTAAGGTGACCCGGCCTTCTCATCTGGTTACAAATCTTCTTAATTACAAAATTGTCCAGCTTGTACATGCCATTACTCAAATTACATACCTTGTTTTGTACTCCTCTTTAGTCTGTACTCACCCCTGAAGATGTGAATTACACGAAAGCGCTTGGGAACTTCGTGTTTTCTTCTTTCCTTGTGGTTATCAGCATATACCTAGATCACGCGCACCTACAGTGATTTACTTGCATACTTACATATATATATATATATATATATATATATATATATATATATATATATATATATATATATATATATATATATATATATATATATATATATATATATATATATATATATGTGTGTGTGTGTGTGTGTGTGTGTGAGTATATATGTATATACTGTATATATTGCTTTGAGTCTTGGTCGAAACCCTGCTCTCTGTGGCAGATGTAGATGTAGTAGGAGTGCCATAGCGTTCACAGCGTCCAACTGAGAGGCCTGAGTTTATCCCAGGTCAGGGCAGAGACCCGGCAATCCAATCTAATGGAAGTTGGTGTGCTTTGTTGAACGCAGGTGCTGCGTTCCCGGCACTGCCCCAAAAGTCTTACAAAGAACCTTTGTCCTCGACTCCCTCTGCCGGCGCCTATTGCCAGCATGGGGGTAGCCAGCGACTTAAACGCAAAGGAGGCGCTTCCTTTCGCAAGGCTCCACACATTCCTGATACTGATACCACTGCTACCTCGCCCGGTCACACAGCATCCCACACCTCTCAAGATTCAGACCTCAGTGATTTTGGCAGCAACATAAATTTTTCTAGTAAAACAAATGGCGAGTGTGACACCAATGATGGGCCGCCCGCTGCCCCAAATGAGCCACCTGCAAAACAGTGGAATCAGCCGATTCTGCATTTTCCGAAGAACTCACACAAAGACGTCGAGGATCGGTTTAATTAACTTTAATTGGACGACAAAGTACCACAAACAACACGGGTTCACCCTTAAATTCCTAAAAGGTAGAAACCGAAATTGTGTTGAATTGTCTGACTCTTGAAGCCTATGAAACACTTAGGACTGAGAGATTTGACGTGGTTGTCCTCGAGCCCCCACCAGCTTACGCTTCTTAATGTTGCCACTTCCCTATTTAAACAATTTCCTCTATTCGCTGATATCGAAGATACTCATGAATTTAATCCTCGTATACTCAGTATACGCAGACTCTACCGAGAGGAATTCCCAGCAAGCCGCCGCCGTCGTCGTTGCTACACAGGGCTGTGGGAAATTATTTGCTGGCACCTGCACAGTACGCAGTAAAAAGGTGATCACCGCCTTCGGTTTGTATTTCATACATTAGTTTTTCTTCTCTGGCAAGACGTTTAATTCTTTTTCTGCAAGTTATTAAGTTTTCCTCTACACACATTGGTAAAGTGGCCCTGATACTACTTCTCCTTCTCTTCTTAAGACACGGCAGCAGCTTGGCCAGACTTTTATCGAGAAATAGTTTTATTTGTCATTCACCTCATTCTTCAGAAGAGCATAATGAGCCACAATGAAGGACACTGGTATTGCCCCACTTATACCTTGGGTCTTTCTTGGAACATTCATCAAGGTAAAAGGATTTTGGGTTTCCGTCATGACTATCTTTGTCTTCGTGTTCGATTCCGGTGTAGCAGTAATCTTAAGAGGATCAGTGGCAGTAAAAGTAACTAGATAGATAAACAGATAGATGTTAATCCGTAAATAGTTTGCGCTGGTTCAGCAAGTGCATAGAGTGTACAGGGATACACACATTGGCCACAGTAAATAGGTTCAACTAAACCTCTTTCAACAGACAAAAATAAAAACGTAATAGCACCAGTAGGAGCAAAAGGCGCTCCCCACACACTGAGCAACTGGAAAAAGGTCAGACGGCAGGAAGGTGACGCACAGAGGGGGACGAACGGAGGGATGGAGGGGGGTGTGGGGGTGAGTGACGGTGCCAGTGGAGATGGTACTAGTCTGACTCCACACACTGTTCGTGACTGTGGCCCAGGGCGCTGTGACTCGCTCACGTCCCTCCACCACATGATACTTAAGCAACCTCGTCCACAGTGACCACGGGCACTCCACATCATACTGACTTTATGCTTATGCAGGAGCTGGTCATGACACTGAAGCCTTGATATCAGGGTAATGAAGTCTTAATACTGTGGTGACGGCGACATAATTGCGGTGGTGACGAAATACACATATGGATGCGATTTAACACGCTGAGATTGTCGCTCTCAATTTTTGGGTTATGACGACCCAGACGTGGTGAGATTAGCACTATAAGGAACGTGTTAACTGACCAGAAGAATATATCGAGACTATTGAACACATAAGTGACTTTAGACGACAATATGTTTATTATATTTTGGTGATTTAACGCGAAGTGATTGTGCATTGTTATTAAGGTGATAAACATGAAAATCGTATGAGGCAACTTTAATCACCTGAATATTTGTGATTTACCTGACTGTGCGCCAATAAAGTCATTTGAACTGAACAGTACTAATAGTGTCTTAGAAGATGCACTGATAGGAATTTAGTGTCCTAATAAATTAAATGTGGCGTTGTGTGTGGGCGGACGTCTGACACCATGTGTTAGTGTGGTATGTGACAGTGTTGATGTCCAGGAGAATAACAAGTGACACTGAATGTGGATCTTATCACTTTGTCCACCTTCTCCCTAATTCATTCTCACTTTTTCTATCTATATCTAGCTTATCTGTCTACACGTTTACCTCTTTCTCACCTTCCTCCATATTCTTTCGCACTTTCTCTCTACCTCTTTCCAGTTTATCTATCTTTATGTTTACTTCTTTCTCACCTCCAAACAGGTTATTTTTATCGAACTCGACTTTGTGTTTATCTTTTCCTTATATCCAGTGTTATCAAGATTACTTTTTTGTCTATCTACCTATCTACTGTAGGTATATTTCTTCCACAGCTCCTGTCAGGCGAGGCATTTAGAATTCCATCGATCATCCCTTAAGTTTTAGCAAAGTTTTCACGTAAACAAAAACAGATAAGGGTTTTTTACTCTCAACTGGTTTTAATGAGTTTTGTTTTTACAGCACATAAAAAATATTTACCTACAATATCAGTTTACATAAAATACTTTGTCAGGAGTGATTATGGAAACTCGGTAACAAAGAGTCACCAGTAGTACGTGGAAGAGGAACTTGACATTATACAAGACACGAAGCTTCATTACTGAATATTAAGTAAAACATTAAAGGTGAAATTTGACGTTTACCCTCGAGTACCAAGTAGGACATGAAGTAAAACTTGAGAATTAGTATAAAAAAGGTATCTCCCTTCTACCATGAACTAGGACTTGCAGGTAAAACTTGTGGTTATCATTAAAACTTAACACACGAGTGCCAAGTAGGACGAGAAGAAAAGATTTGACAATTCGTTTATCATAAAAAAGACTCGCCCCTCAAGTACACAATAGGACTTGAGAGTGAAACTTGTGATAACATTAGGAACATTACCCTCCAAGATGAAGTTCCTGGTGACACAACTGGGAGGGAGGAGCGCGAGAGATGCGTCATGGATGTCGGGATATGTTTTCCTGCCGCCCACCCGCTTACAGCTGTGGAGGTGGGTGATGACGCTGATGGTGGTAGTGGGTGGTGGTTCTTCACCAGCAGGAGGAGCGAGCCCGGATGTCGGTGACCTGCAGGATACCGTAAGGAGCCACACCCAGACGCTGCTGAACATGAGCAGGTACCTGAGGCAGACCGACAAGTTCTGGAAGTGGTACCAACTAAATCACAGGTGAGTCTAGCGCAGGAAAGACTGATTAGGTCTCTCTCTCTCTCTCTCTCTCTCTCTCTCTCTCTCTCTCGACTCAGACGTCTCAAAGTACGTGTTTCTACCGACGTGCACGTACCGCTTGAGTGTGTGCATCTATGTCTATTCGATTAGTTGTGTGTGTATGCGTGTATGTACTGTATAATGCATATGCGTGTGTGAGTGGTTTTTTTGTTTGTATGTATGTATGTATGTATGTACAGTATGTTTGGGGGTTCTTGCGTATGTATATGTCCATTTGAGTACGTGTGTGTGTGTGTGTGTGTGTGTGTGTGTGTGTGTGTGTGTGTGTGTGTGTAGGTGCGATCTTGGTGCAGCTCATAATCTGTGATCCATTCCCAGTATTTGACAGGGTATGACAAGTCTTTGCTTTCTAAACTTCCCTTTTATGGTTTCTCTCCCCCACTTTGTTTTCTAATCTCTAGCTGTCGAGGGATCGATCTCTCACTCTTTCTTTTCTAATAGTGGTGTCCCACAGGGTTCTGTTCTTTCACCTACTCTCTTCCTTCTTTTTATCAATGATTTACTTCACACTACAACTAATTCTATCCATTCTTACGCTGATGATTCTACCCTTCACTCTTCGTCACATTTTCCCCTTCCTCCTAACTCTTAAACTAGATCTGTTTCTGGAGCTGATATCATTACTTCTATCAATGCGGATCTGTGCAGCATCTCTGAATGGGGTGAGAGAAACATGGTTAAATTCAGAAGTAATAAATCTCAGTATTTACTAATTACACTTTCTAAATTAGATTATCTCCCACCAATTACATTTCAGGACGTTATCATTCTGCCAAATATTGAAATAGATATGCTAGGCCTCACCATTTCCTCCAATATGTCATGGAAATCACACATCCTTAACATAGCTAAAGCTGCCTCCCGAAAGTTGGGAATGCTGCACAGACGCCGTAGCTACTTCACTCCAGAGCAGTTGCTCCAATTATAGAAGGGATTCATTCGCCCTAGCTTGGAGTACTGCTCTCATATCTGAGGTGGCTCTTCTTCTGTCCAACTGTTAGATAGGGTGGAATCAAAGGCATTTCGTCTTATTAACTCTCCTCCTTTAGTTGACAATCTTTCTTCCCTTTCTCTTCGCCGAAATGTTGCTTCACTCCGTCTCTTTTACAGGTACTTTAACGGACAATGTTCGGTGGATTTGGCATCCTGTGTACCGCCGGCAAGGCCGTGGGCTCGTAACACACGTCTTGCCAGCGGTGCCTACCATTTCTCTGTGGATGTCGGTCACACTAGAATAACCCGTTATAGTACGTCCTTCTTTCCTCACACAGCCAAACTGTGGAATGCTCTGCCTTCTTCTGTTTCCATAATTATGCAATCCGTCTCACTTTAAAGAGCTGGTTTTCTTCGTGGTGTAGATTAACACAGTATAACCTTTTTATTCTCTATTTTTAATTTATTTATATTCTTATTTTTTCGCCCCCTAGGCCCTGTTGTGGGTCGTTCGACCTGTGCCCGGGTGGGCTAATTCCCATTAAAAAAATAAATAAATAAATAAATACTGTACTATACTGAGAGGCTGGTGGGTGGTACGGGGAAGTAAGGAGGGATGACACAGGGCACTGGAAAGTTACTCTTGCCCCTTGGCTAACTAACTCATCACAACACAGTGTGGACACTGGAGCTGTTTGAACCCTGTCACTTGACCTTTAAATTGTGATGAACATTAGACAAAAAAAAACAGTCGTGGCATGACCACATAAGGGGACAGACGTCCTCATAGGTGCTCTTGACTTCCCGATCATCCCACAAAGGTCCCCTAAGCCAGCAAGTTTTTGCCAGCATAGGGGGTCGACATAAACGTCCCAGAAGAGGCTCTCTCATGGACGCAGACATCTCTGATATGGATGCCATCGCCAACTCGCCTGGTCATACTGAATCCAACACCCTTCAAGAGTCAAACCCCAGTGATTATGACAGTGACGGTAATGTTTTTATGGGAAACACTAGCTGCAGTGGAAACACCAATGCCACGGACCCTATCACCCTGCCCTCTATCAACCAGCCAAGTAAGATGAATCTGCACTTCCCCAAGGACTCACTGAAAACCGTAAAGGAATGCTTTAGTTGGATGATGAAGTACTGCAGACAACACGGTCTCAACATTCAATTCCGACAAGGTAAGAACCGGAACTTTATCAAGTGTCAGACTCCTGAGGTCTATGAAACACTTAGTACTGTTGGCTTTGATTGGGTTGTCCTGGTCCCCCAGTAGACGCTGATGAATGTTGCCACATCCTAGTGAAACGATTCCCCCTATGCGCTGACATTGAAGATGCGCCTGACTTTAATTCTAGTATACTCAGTATACGTCGACGTTACCGGGGGAACACCCCACAAGCTGCTGTCATTGTCAAGTGGAAGGGAAGGGAATGCCCAACCACTGTGGAGACCCACCCAATCCTCCCTCCACTTTATGCAGAACCCTATCATCCTGGGCCTGCATTTTGTGTTATCTGTTCTCATTGGGGTCGCACCTTCACTGCCTGCTGCCAACGTGATCGTCCCAGATGTCGCTTCTGTTCACGTAACCATAACTCCGCCGCCTGTGCCCAGAAAATCAAAGATCACCTTAATGGGGGTGGTGTGGGCTATGTGGATGATCCCAGGTGTTGTAACTGTGGAGGCTGGCACAATGCTGACTCACGGCAATGCCCCAATTGCCCGTCTGTCCCAGGGGAAAAGCCTCCCCGAAGGCCGCGTCTACCACAATGCCATCCCCCCCCCCCAAGTCTACAGGGCCGCCTCCCTCTGTGTCCCCTCTGTCTCCAGCAACACCTCCTTCTTCAACAACACCTGGCCTTATCTGGCTGCAACACAGCAATCCCGGCCGTCTCTTAACTCAACTACTACTGGGCCTCCTCCCTGTCTCTACTCTGATGCTGTCAAGCCTTGTGCTCCCACAGGTGTCCCCCCACAACCCCCCTCCAGTGACATGACACAGATCATATCCCTCTTCCAAGAATTTACCAACCGTATCGAAAAACTCTTCGTTACATTCTGTACCACCATCTCTGACCTACTCTTGCCCTCTGTTGCCACCCAGTCACTCCTCTCTTCTGGTTTGACACAAGCTGGTAGTTCCCCTGTGAGCCCCCTCTGCTCATGGCCTACTCCACCGCCGGCGGCCTTCACTACTGGTGTAGTGCCTACCTGGCCTGCCCTGGTGTGTCCCGGTGTGTCCTGCTGCCTCTGAGCGAAGTCCTGCCTTATCTTCACGACACGTGGTGCCTCAACCTGTCCACCCACCGCAAGCCGCGCCCACTCCTGTGTTGTCTCCACCAGGGCTACCTATTGGACCTGAGGACACCACCCCTGGCTATCCGTACCCCACCGGCATGCCAACGTACACACCACCACAATCACACTAAAAGGTATGTCCCTCAATATTGTCAATACCTATGTGCCTCCCTCCACCGCTACTGTACCTGTCCCATCACACCATATCACCTCCACCCCCACTGTATTTCGCCACTCCTAGTACATTGGCGAGCTTGGCCACACTTTTTGTAAACTTTGTGGTCAACCCCACTCTCATGCTCTCTCTCACTACATCCTCACTTGCCCTATGACCTCCTCCTACAGGTCCCCAGCCGTTACCAACACCTCTTCCCTCCCTGACCAGATATCCCTCCTCCTAGTGACAGGCCTGGCACTTGACATTATTAGGGACCTGCCACACTTTGCCGTAAACAGATAAATTGTACCGGGAATTTTCCCCCACACACTCATCATTCTGTCACTTTATTTAACTTGTTGACAAAACCCTTCAGGCCTTTACGCCCTTAATGCATGAATCATAAAGGCAAACACGAACTATGCATGCTTCCCAGATGGGCGCTGTAAATGCTTCTGCGCTTCACCTTGCACAGGATGTAAGGGGGTGCCCAATAAACTAGCCCCCACGAGGAAAATCTAAAAAAAATTTTAGACAAAAACCGATGAAAGGATGGATTTAGATAAGAACAACTAAAACTTGGTAAAATATCAACAAAAACAGCTGGAATTTGGTATTATCAACATGCACATCTAAAACTTGGGAATATCAACAAAAAGGTCAAACTTGGTGTAATATCAATAAAAATATAGTTTTGACTCATAAAACAGCTTGGTTGTTCGCTAGCGAACAGCTAGTGACAGTCTCATTGTGTGGAGTTCGCTAGCTGGTGGGAAGAAAACCAATTTAGATAATGTTTAGTACTGTTCTGTACATCGATTTTATTATAAATGTTCTTACGTTTCTGTTTAAGAAAAATGGGAGTATCCTTCTCACACCAACAATAGGTTAATTCTTTCCTCCTACCACCGACTAAGTCATGTGGTGTTCAGAACGTAAACAAAGTATAATTAAAGTAGTTCGAGGAGTCACTTAACAAAAAACGAATTTATTTTAAAACTGGTGATTTACTTTATTATCTCCCTATTGGCTCATCTGCTTAATGGTTTAATTAATCTTCTAGGCATTTTTACAGTCTCATTAATAAGTACAAAACTTGAAGATAAAGTAGGGCATTAGGTTAATCATGGTAACTCTAGTTTTCTGAAGTATATGAGTGGCGCGTAATAGAATGAAGAAGAAATGGTTTTAGAAGAGTGACAATTAGAAAGGGGCTAAAGAGCACATCGTATGCCCGCCAGTGCTCTCCTGTGCGGATAGGAAGGAAACGCCTCAACAATGTCCCATGTTGTCGAACAACAAAGACACCGAAATTGGATAAGCGCTTGTAAAACATTATGTACTCCATATAATAGAATTATATAAAATACGGTCTCACATTTGAAAAATTGCCTCAAAAAATATTTATAAAGATTGCTTGTATAAGTGGGTTCAAATATTATGTTTCATAAATCGGAGTCCTGACCTGAGGCTGAGTGTGTACTGTGTATTTCTGCACCAGTGTGTCCCAGGCAGGGGAAGTGGGCGTGTCAGACGTAAGAAC